CACACACTGCCAACACACATTTCAGTTCAAACAATTTGTAAAAGTTCATGTCGCATCCGATGACCACTGTAAGATATATATATGCAATGTGTTCTCCTAAAGTAGTGTGTACACACACATACACACACAGTGTGATGGTATGTGAGTTTTCTTGCATTTATACGTATATGATGATTTGTGTGGTTCACAGAAAATGAAAAGGAGTGAGTATTATTAGTAGCTGTAATTAAGGGTCTTTTGTATTAAAGAGATAGTTCACACAAAAATGTAAACTTTGTTATCATTGACTTGTCATCATTAACTCACTCTCAAGTTGCTCCAAACCTGTGTAACGAATCAGCTCATGATATCCAAACAGTGGACGTTAGCCACTGATTTTCATAGGAAAAATACTATGGAAGTCAATGACTGCTGTCAGCTGTTTTAGTGAACTATCACTTTAATGAATTGATTGTTATGATTATATTGAGTTGTATTCTGTGTTTTAGCCTGCATGTATGATGGCCGGGAGTATCAGAACGGTCAGGAGTTTCCAGACCCCGCTGATCGCTGCAGTCATTGCGTGTGCAGGAATGGTCAGGTGACCTGCAACAGGAGGCCATGTCCAAACCCAGGATGTAGTAACCCCATCACCCAGCCGGGCCAGTGCTGTCCAGTGTGTGATGGTACCGTATAACACCGTATCAACGTTACAAAACCCACGACAGCCTTGTCAATGGATTATGTACTTTTAGAATGTTACTTGTTACTTTTAAAGGGGTCATCGGATGCCCATTTTCCACAAGTTGATGTGATTCTTTAGGGTCTTATTGAAAAGTCTGTAACATAGTTTGGTTAAAATTTCTCAATGGTAGTGTAAAACACCCTTTTTACCCTGTCAAAATCAGCTCTGTTTTCAGCAAGCCGTTTTAGTCCATGTTCCTTTAAATGCTAATGAGCTCTGCTGACCCCGCCCCTCTCTTCCGTGGGGTGACGAGCCGTTCTCATGAGACCGTTTACTTTAGCCACGGAACTTGCTAACTAGCACGTTATTAGGAACGGCGATTTGCAAAGATTCATAAAGATTCAGAACCTTAAACTCACTTCTTCTGGAGGTGAAGCTGGACCACGAATGATTCGCGCGAACATAAACACATTTAGGTAGATCGGGAGACGCATTCCCTTCAAAAACAAAGGTAATCCACTGCGTCTTCAGCGGTTCAGATGTCGGGAGTAAATGACGACTGCTATGTTCATTATTACATCCAACAACAGAACACCTCAAACGCTTAGGAGACATTCTGGTCTACTCCTGCTCTGGTGTCGAAACAATGGCGGACTGATGACAGCTCACTCAGGGTGGGTTTAAGGTAAAACGCTAGTGTCAATCAACAATCGTGGGAGGGGCCTGTCTGTGTGACATCACACTGACAGGCATCTAAGAATGGCTTGATATGAGAAAGGGGAAATGATTTAACGAGATTAAAAAAAAAACCACTGGGTGGATCTTTATCATTATAGGGTGGTTGTCTGCCAACACTGCCAACACACATTTCAGTTCAAACAATTTGTAAAAGTTCATGTCGCATCCGATGACCACTATATATGCATGTGTGGTTCATAGAAAATGAAAAGGAGTGAGTATTATTAGTAGCTGTAATTAAGGGTCTTTTGTATTAAAGAGATAGTTCACACAAAAATGTAAACTTTGTTATCATTGACTTGTCATCATTAACTCACTCTCAAGTTGCTCCAAACCTGTATAAGTTTCTTTCTCCTGTTGAGCATAAAAGAAGATACTTTGAAGAATCTTAGTATCCAAACAGTGGACGTTAGCCACTGATTTTCATAGGAAAAATACTATGGAAGTCAATGACTGCTGTCAGCTGTTTTAGTGAACTATCACTTTAATGAATTGATTGTTATGATTATATTGAGTTGTATTCTGTGTTTTAGCCTGCATGTATGATGGCCGGGAGTATCAGAACGGTCAGGAGTTTCCAGACCCCGCTGATCGCTGCAGTCATTGCGTGTGCAGGAATGGTCAGGTGACCTGCAACAGGAGGCCATGTCCAAACCCAGGATGTAGTAACCCCATCACCCGGCCGGGCCAGTGCTGTCCAGTGTGTGATGGTACCGTATAACACCGTGTCCACATTACTAGTTACAAAACCCACGACAGCCTTATCAATGGGTTATGTACTTTCAGAACTTCAAATATTTTTTTTTGAGTAAATAGTAAAATATGTGTTTTTGTTACTTTACAAGGGGTCATCGGATGCCCATTTTCCACAAGTTGATATGATTCTCTGACAGAACTGGAGAGGATCTGCAAGGAGGAATGGCGGAGGATCCCCAAATCCAGGTGTGAAAGACTTGTTGCATCTTTCCCAAAAAGACTCATGGCTGTATTAGATCAAAAGGGTGCTTCTACTAAATACTGCGCAAAGGGTCTGAATACTTAGGACCATGTGATATTTCTGTTTTTCTTTTTTAATAAATCTGCAAAGATGTCAACAATTCTGTGTTTTTCTGTCAATATGGGGTGCTGTGTGTACATTAATGAGGAAAAAAAATTAACTTAAATGATTTTAGCAAATGGCTGCAATATAACAAAGAGTGAAAAATTTAAGGGGGTCTGAATACTTTCCGTACCCACTGTATATATATGCTAGTGTTCTCCTAAAGTAGTGTGAACACACACATACACACACAGTGTGATGGTATGTGAGTTTTCTTACATTTATACGTATATGATGATTTGTGTGGTTCATAGAAAATGAAAAGGAGTGAGTATTATTAGTAGCTGTAATTAAGGGTCTTTTGTACTAAAGAGATAGTTCACACAAAAATTTAAACTTTGTTATCATTGTTTTAGCCTGCATGTATGATGGCCGGGAGTATCAGAACGGTCAGGAGTTTCCAGACCCCGCTGATCGCTGCAGTCATTGCGTGTGCAGGAATGGTCAGGTGACCTGCAACAGGAGGCCATGTCCAAACCCAGGATGTAGTAACCCCATCACCCGGCCGGGCCAGTGCTGTCCAGTGTGTGATGGTACCGTATAACACCGTGTCCACATTACTAGTTACAAATCCCACAACAGCCTTGTCAATGCATTTTATATACATTTTTATTTTAAGATGCCATATATATGCTAGTGTTCTCCTAGTGTACTTCATTGACAAAGTGCACTTTTGCTTTGATGTATGTAAGAAGTATTGATGACGACTCCTCCTGCACTACAAAGACTTTTGTCCAATCAAAACTCTTTAGAATGAGAATGCTCGTCCCCTTCCTAACACCTGCAACCAGTGGTGGACAGTAACGAAGTAGTTTTACTTCGTTACTGTACTTAAGTACATTTTTCAAGTATCTGTACTTTACTGGAGTAGTTTTATTTTGAGTAACTTTTACTTCACTACATTCCAAAGCAT